AGACTTCTAAACTAAGACTTTACACTCACTAAGACATACACAACCACAAAGACATTCAAAAACTCCTAAGCATTCTACAACCCTCACTAATTTCATTCTAAACTCACTAAACATTCAACAACAAGACATTTACAAATCACAAAATATACAAACTCACAAGCATTCTAAAAAGTCACTAAGACTTCTACAACTCACTAAAGACATCTACAACTCACAAGACATTCTACAACCACAAGAATTCACAACTCCTAAGACATTCTACAACTCACTAAGACTTCCAACTCCTAAGACTTTCAACAACCACTAAGAATTTCTACAACCACTAAGACATTCTCAACTCACTAAACATTCACAACTCACTAAACATTCAACAACCACTATGACACCCACAATCACAAAATTCACAACTCACTAAGACATTCTACAACTCACTAAGACATTCTACAACTCACTAAGACATTCTACAACTCACTAAGACATTCTACAACTCACTAAGACATTCTACAACTCACTAAGACATTCTATAACTAAGACATTCTATAACTAAGACATTCTACAACTCACAAGACATTCTACAACCATAAGACATTCTACAACCCAAGACTTTCTATAACAAACATTCCAATTTGAAAGAAATTTTTCCCATAATTTTGTACCGGAACAATGAAATTCTTTTCTTAAAAATAATGAAAAATTCTGCCACCGGAGATTCACATTTCTTATGGTAATCACCAGGTTTATGGAAATTTCTACCAGGTTTATGGAACTCTACCAACAGGTTTTTAGGGAACCAAAACCAACAGTGTTCTGGTAACTCTACCAACATTTTTTGGGAACTCTACCAACAGTGTTTAGGGAAAAGTCTACCAGACAGTGTTTTGTAACTCTCCCAAACAGTGTTTATGGAACTCTACCAACAGTTTTTTATGGTAACTCACCAGACGGGTTTTTAAATTTAACCAACCAGACAGTGTTTAAAAGGTAACTCTACCAGACAGTGTTTAGGGAAACTCTACAACAGTGTTTAGGAAACTCACCAACAGTGTTTATGGTAACTCCCCAACAGTGTTTATGGTAACTCTACCAGCAGTGTTTATGGAACTCACCATTGAAGACGAACACTTATGCAAAAAGGGGGAATCTTTTTTCAGGAAACTTTTCCCAACGGCTTCACACCCAAATCAAATAAAAAAAGGCAAAAGAGAGAGGTTTGAGGAATTTTTTCCTCAGCCTGGATCGAGTTTCAGTCCTAAATTTTGAGAAGTACACATGGGGCCTGATTTTGGCTTATATACGTAGTGAGTGAGGCGAAGCAGGAGAGGGGGGTCAAGTGATACACCACACACCTGAAAACTCTACCACCCTTTAAAAATCCGCTGTTAAAAACCCTTCTACGCCTCTACACTCTTTAAAAAAAACCTTTTCCCAGACCATCCACATTCCCCCAAAACACTCTCTTCCTCCAAACTTTCACCCCATAAACACAATGTCTGAAATGCTAAAAATTTCGGCCACGACAAAACTCATGCACTTCCACACAAATCTGCTCCAGATTTTCACAACGGGCCCCTTTCGGGAACATTGCAACCCCCCCCTTAAAGTTCTAACGGCGGGTAAAAACTGCAGTTGAAAAAATTCCTGCCCTTCTAGAAAAAATTCTCTCCACCCTCAGACCAGCAAACCCCCCTCCCTCCCAACCCCTTCCCCCCCCTCCGTCCCCTACCATACCTTCCCCCCTACCCCCAAATCCCGGGGCTACTCCACGCATTTGGGTCTACCTTCCCCTACCTACACACCTCAAACACCACACACAGATTACAAGCCTTCTTTTCCTTTTTAAACACCTACACCCAGACTAACACAAAACTAACTCCCAAACTCCCACTGCTGCCCACCTGCGATGTAATCTCTCAAGTTTATAAATCAACTACAAAAATTTCCTTAAACCAATTTTGTCTGCAAAAAAAATCTTCCCTTTTTTAATTACCCTCCCCCTGCTTCTTCTAAGCCCCCTACAACCTCACCCCTCCCCCCCCACCCCCCACTTCCTACACCCCCGCCCCCTCCTCCCCTACCCCCCACTACTTCTACCCCCCCACCAACACTCTACTGCTGCTGCTATGACCACCCCCCCACCAACACCCCTACGCTGCTGCTATGACCACCCCCCCCCCCCCCCCTTTTAAACTCATTTCCCTCTTTCCCCAAACCCAAAAGCTTCCCCATTTCTTCATCCCTTT